ATTATGTTTGATTTGATCAGTGAAATGAATAGAGTTAATAATCCCTCTTGGATCAAGCTTTTCTCCTCGACAACATCCAATATTATTTAATATATTTCTACGGCATTGTATGAAAAGGCTCTCGAGTATCATAAACAGTAGTAATCTGCTCCTACAATAGAACGGCATATCTGATAATGCGTCCTAAATCCGTGCTGTTGGCGACCTTGCATTGCTTTGGGGAAAATCGATGGGGATTATCTACAGAAATTGTCAAGGGCGAAGGGCGCGCCTAACTAGAACTGCCAACGAGGTCGATAGACAATATGCAACTAGAAGATTATAATTATCAAGGAAATTAATTAGTGGTGTATGGCGCAAGACGTTATACACTACCATATTTTGACCTATAAATTGTAATAATCATATCACTTAATAAATCCACTGAAAAACCATTATAGAGTGATAATATTACTATAGAAGCTTTTGTCTGAAATTTGAATCTATTTCTTTTTAAGATACTAACCAGTTGACTGTGACAAAGCCGGATTGGTAAGGATATAACTCCGCTTCTAAGAGACGACTTCGATCACAAGTTTTCTTTGGTGGCAAGTAAACTTTTCCACAGAGTTTTTGGAATCTCACTCGATTGTTGGTCGAGCAATTAAAAAATGTATGAATTAATGAAAAGCACGGTAATAATACATAAACACAGTTTAATTTCCAAATGTGCCAGTTAAATTTGAATAAAATCTCTTACAAGATTAAGCTGGCAAGTCAGATTAAGTTGGCATTTGCAATGACTATCGATATGCTCCAGGAACATTTATATGTGGCAAGCTTTGCAGTTGGTGAACCATCCATGTAACTTAACTGTTAGCGACTCTTTCACTTATATATTATAATTCCACATTCACAATCAGTTGAGAAATAAGTGTTTTTGTTTCAAATGTCTAATTGGAACCGATTCTGCCGCATATCAGAAAAATGTTGTGGCATGCCATGTTATGAATAATGATGAACTTTCCATACTAAATATTATGACAAAAGCCATATGGTTGGTGTGCAATCAGACGTATTTCTCAGATTGTCAGATAGAAAACCTAAACGAGAAACCGCGCAAATGTAAAAAAAAGATCTTAGATAACAGGGCCTTTCTGACTCAGCTTCATAACATGCGAGTGACGTTGCAGTTTATGTGTAAAACGCCTGAATGCACAGCAAATACATGACATTTTGACAGTACTCAGTATGATTAAATAGCATAATGTATGGAAGTTTAGCGTTACATGGCTTTGCCATAACATTTTTCTGTTATGCGGTAGAATCGGTCTTTAAAATTAAAGTATTTGAAGTAGAAGTTAAATAAGTTATAAGTTCTAAGACTAGTTTTGAGAAGACAAATATGACAAATTCTCGTATACAACTACAATCCGATTGATTCCAGACAATATGTAGCCAGAAAATTATAATTATCAAGGAAATTCATAATCTGTTTAGAATTAAAAATAATTAATTTAATTAATAAAAATTAAAATAAATTACCATATTTTGACCGATACATCAAAATGAACATATTATTTAATAAATCCACTACAAACCATTATAGAGTGATAATATTGCTATAGAAACTTGTGTCTGAAATTTGAATCAAATTTTTTTAGGATATTCACCTGTTGACTATGGAGAAGCCGGATTGGTTTATGGAAGCTATGACGACTTGAGTTTTTTTTTCTGAAGAAACTGTAATTTTAATGAAAACTAAAGAATTGTAGGAACTTCTTTGTTTCACAAATTGAACAAACTTGTTTTTTCTCGATTATATTACAAATTTATACATGAATCTTATTCATGTGAGGCTCACAATGAGAAAGTAATGAACTGTTGAGAGCAAGTCCCTCTAATTGAGAATCGTTTCTAACTAAGTAATATTGCATAATTTAATAATGGAATGATTTATTAATTTAGTGTAATATCGAGTAAAACTATATTTAGTGAAAAATTCAACTATAACTAAAATGACAATAATTTTTTTCTGAGACTGCCCGCCTTTAACAATGTCCATTACAAGTGGAATTTTGAGGTCATTGTCTATGACTCAATTGAGTATTGATATTGAAAAATTCTGAATGTAGATTTGTAAATTTCAGTAAGGAACTGAAATAAAATGAAAAAGTTTAAATTTGGCATGTGAAATAGTTGTTTTCAAATCCACAATTAATTCCATCTGCTAAACTCACATTTAATTCCATCTACTCACTCAACAACTGTAATATGGCCATTTTTCGAATATTTTAGTTTGCAAATAATAATTTATATTAATTATTTGAATCATTAATAAATCATTATAAATTATTTTCTGCAAAGAAAATTAGAATAATGGCAGAGTGTTATAATTGTTGAGTAAGTAGATGGAATTAAATGTGAGTTTAGTAGATGGAATTAAATGTAGATTTAATTTTCAAATTTTCAAAAAAAACATTCCAGAGTTATTTATTCAACATGATATGTTCATTAAGCATGTATTGCAAGATTATTCCATATATCATCACTTTATTAACTGAAGTACGATATTTCTATTAAATATTGTAAATATTTATTCCAACTTCAAATACGTCCAAAAATAGATTTTAGATTACTTTTTTCGAAAACCAACAAAGAAATTAGTCCATCTGAAGTACAAATACAATAGATCTCTTACAACACAAAACAATACTGAATGCAGAACAATGGAAAAGTGAAGAGTTTTCTGTTAATAAAAGGATCTGAAACAAGGCTTATACAGAACAAAACACGAGTTTTTTAAAACCTTGATAAAATCATTGTAAAAGATTTTTTAAAAAAATGTAAAACAATAATCTGTATGATATATACTCCGGAGAAATTAACAAATATAAAACCATTTTTTACGTGAACTTCTAATAATGTGCCAATTTTATGACAATTATTTACAAGAAAAATTACATATAATATAATAAAAAAATTAAGGCATCGTGCCTTAAGGCAAATTGCTGGAACTTCCCGTGCCAAAAATTATTATTTTTTTAAAAACGATTAACATTTTTGAAAAAATTTTACTTCGAAAAAATAAGATTTTTTAGAAATTTTAAATTGGACAAAAAATTACTTTTTTTTTGAAAAAAAAAATTTTTTAAAAAAAAAATCTGAACTTATTTTCAAAGCAATCGTACTGCTTTAACTGCATAGAGACAAAATATAAAGCGCGTAAGCGCCGCGTCGCTGTCTAACGGAAAAACAATGGTACGGAACCCATAGGAATGTAAACAAAACTTATACTTATTGTTAAAATCTCAATAAAATATCTGATAATTTGATATGCATATGTCTAATGTCTAATGATTATTGTTGACCGCCAAATGTTATTTTTTTTTAGTTTTTTTACTAGATCTCCGAAACCGCTAGACCTATCTTCATGAAAATTTGATCAAATCTTCATCTTGTTAATACAAGTAAAATGTTTTTTGAATTATTTAAATCGGACGCTCCGTTCTCTTAAAAACTGAGTTACGGTTTTTGGCCCTTTTTGCCCCATATCTTCGGAACGGCTAGAATGTTTTTTGAATTATTCAAATTGCTTCATCCGTGTTCCCGAAATCGTCGACGAAAATTTGTATCCGAACACACACACATGCACGCACACACACACACACACACACATACATCAATTTTCTCCAAGGTATGCCAACATATTCTGAAACCTCTGAAACGTGAAGATATATAAAAAATTTTATTTTCGATTTTTTTGCGATTACTTACCCTATGGAAAGTTAATTATAAATAAATCAATTTATCATCACGAGAACATTAACAATCGTCATTTCATTTCGAATCAAATTCCAAAAAAAAATAGTTGCCAAATTTACACAAAATTGAAAAACTAATAGTCACAGTCTAAACGCATTTGCAAATAATTCTGTGCGACATTTTCACTTATACTGTGCTCAGCTTGGCGGCATTTTCACATTTTTCAATATTTTTCACAAAATTGGAAAAGTGCTCCAGTACGCAAACAGTCTAAACGCACTTGGGTAAACATTTGTACCAGAGTGGCGTTTAGACTGTGTTTAGCTTGGGTGATTTTTTTAATTTTTAATCCAAAATTACAAAAAAATTTTTTTGAAAAAAAAATTAGAAACAACATTTTTTTTTTCCAAAATCAATTATTTTGTTGAAAAAAGCAGAAAGTTCTTTGAATCATTTAAATCGGACGCTTAGTTCTCTCAAAAACAGCCATTTTTTTTAAGTTTAGCTCTGTATCTCCGAAACCTCTGGGCCTACCTTTGCCAAAAACTAATCAGCACATCTCCCTATCAATAGGAATCGAATGTTTTTTAAACCATTCAAATCGGTTGATCCGTTCTCTCAAAAACTCGCTTCCTATTTTTTGCACTCTTTGCTCCATATCTCCGTAACGGCTGGACCTGCCTTTGCCAAAAACTAATCAGCACATCTCCCTATCAATAGGAATCGAATGTTTTTTAAACCATTCAAATCGGTTGATCCGTGCGCCCGAAAACGTGGACGAAAAAACGCGGACATACAAAACACACACACACACACACACACACACATCCATTTTTTCTGAGGTATGCCAAAATGTTCAGAAACCTTCAAAACGTCGAGAAATGTAAAAATTTTTGATTCCGATTTTTGGACGATTACTATAACTTACCCTACGGGAAGTTAATTATAATATTTTATTAAATTTGAAATATAAAGCTTAGTTTACAGATATGTCTACAAAATGACGTATGTCATTTACATTTCATACTACATGTGTATACATGTAAGTATGAAAAATATTAAAGTTAAGAAAAATATTAAGATGGTGGATCTTCATTATATAAATTAATTATTTTTACAAATGACTCAACTATCCAACTAAACAACTGAATAAAAACAATATAGTATAATGACTTAATCAGTTACTGGAAGTATTTATTGAACAATAAATTATACATAAACAACAATTCTACTAGCTATTTTACAAAGTTACTAACAAAATCTTTGATTGGATCAAATTCTTTACATGGAACAAGACTATTTGTTTCAGCAAATTCTTTGATTTCTGTCCCAAACGTTTTCATATTTTCCTTTGTAAATAAATAAGCAGCAGCTCTAGTTTCAAAAAATATTTCAGCACCATTTTTGCACAATTTCAAAACATCACTAGTTATATATCTGAACATTTGATGACCCACAAATAGAGCATCAAAAAATTCATGTTTATTCACATTATTAGGCATTTCTTTTAAAAGTTCTATTCCTGCAAAATATATTTTGTCCTTGTGATTAGTAAGTAAAGATTTCCAAGGAGAATGGTCGTAAGTTTTAGTAATACATCGGCCTTGTCTGGCATCGGGTAGAAGATATATAGCTGATCCACTGCAGTATTTGTCTTCTTCCAAAATTTTTTGGTGGACATATGGAGTACCTGTAGCAATTTCGTGGAAATATCGTGTTATATTACGCTCTATAATATCTGTAACTCTTTTAGCGTTGGCACGATTTGCTATTATCATCATATCCTTGTCTTCACAATCCAAACCGTAAGTTATGTAAGGACCAGTTACTATATCTCCAAGAAATCCACTGATGAGCATTCTGTCTCCATCTTGGATAATTCCTGCTGCCAAACTTAAATTGGCATCGAAATATTCACAATCTAAACGCGTAAAAGCGATTCCTGTGTCTCTGAAGTATTTATATTCCTGGGCACATATGCTTGTGATATCCGTATCAGATTTTATACGCATATTATAATCCCAATCAAAAACACCATTCCTATAATCATACCGAGTTTTTGTCATTCGTCTAACATTATTGTTCCAAATCTTAACAATGTCAAAATCTTTATTAGGGCTGCTCCAAAATTTGAACAAGGTATCCAAGTAGTCACGTTGTTTGTACTTCAATGAAGACAGATCAAACATGGGTATATCTTCTAGCATCTGCTTGCTATCTGATACCAAATTTCGTAAATGATACGATTTATTAGATATGTATTTTGTAGTTGCAGGTCTCATCAACGTGTTACCATAAAACTCCATAAACATCAAGGTTTTATTCTGCAGTCCAATGTCTTCCAGGGGTTCTAGCATTATTAAACTCATCACCATTTGTCTAGCAATCATTTCCATACAATTCTCAACGACGTAGAAGTTCACTTTTTTATTATCATGACGATATTTATGAGCCAATGTTTTTATTATATGCCGGCAATCAGTTTGTCCGACCAACATGACATTAATTTCATCCAAATCCTTACCGACACCGACGTCCAGAAAATCAATTGCTGGACTCACACCCCAATGAAACATTTTGTAATTGATTTAATTGAAGATTATAAAGAATTTGAAATTATAGTAAAATTAGTAGTTTAGTTAAATGTAATTACAAGACGTGTAGTAGGTACAACTGACTAAATTGCGTTTGTTTACCGTTCCGCGTTTTATTACTATAGCAACGATATTGATCTGTTTTCTGAGATACATTTATTTTTGCTGTTCGTTATAGCATTTTTAAATTTTTCTAGTCACAGTACAAATACAAAAAGATATTAAAATGACTTGTTTGTATACTATTTGCTTAAAATCTCCAAAACTAAAATACAATTTGTTTTGATGATAGATGAACAAGAAATAAATGAAAGTTCTCAAAATGTTATTTTATTTATTTAATAAAGTAAATAAGTAAATGTAATTTAAGCCAAGGATCGGCCGGGCCGTTTTCTTGTAATAAAGTTTTTTTAAAATAAAATTCGACGATTTTTATGATTATTTTTTTGACGGTAGATACCATAGTCTTCTAGAATCATACTAAAATATTACGGCCCTATGACAACTGGTTTAGCTTTAAAAAATCGTCTTTAAAAAATAGTTTGCAAAAATTAGTATGGTCTTTTTGGCATTTGTCAAAATTAGAACTTTCATCGACGTTTGCTCAAAAACGCCTGAACCGATACCAGATATTTAAATAGCATTTGATGTATCTCGATGAGGATTATCGTTTCTCAATTTTGTGCGACGATCGGCCGAGCCGTTTCTTTGTAATTTGGAAAAAAGTGTTAAACCTTTCGTCCACATTTAAGCTCATACTAACGAACCGATTTTAAAAAATCAAAAACTGTTCGAAAGATATTAGTTGGGAATGATACTGATTAGTTTTAGGGGAAAATCTACCGAGCCGTTTTCTTGTAATTAAATGTTGAAAAAAAATTTAGGCCGATTTTTATGGAACTTTTTTTGGCAATATACATCGTGGTCTTATAGAATTTACTGAATTATTACGGTCTTATGACAAGTAGTTTAATTTTAAAAATTCATCAAAGTTTGAGAAAATGAGTAGTTTTTTGACGTTTGTTAAAATTAAAATTAGACGATTTACTTTGTATAACGTCTTGAACATAGTAAACCATTAAAGTCCTACGGAAACTGGTTGAATTATAATTATTGATTAATTAAAATTATTGATTTTTGAAAATTTGCTTTTAGAAAATACTCCGAGTTAACGTGTACGTTCGTTCGTTTGCAATGATGTGTAATAAATCCACTTGGAATACTTATAATCACTCATAAATTAATTTATTATTTAAGTCGATTATTTACCCATATCGGGAAGTTCATGTAACTTGCCTCAAGGCTAAATACCAAACCAACTAGTTTTAAAATGTTTTTACTAGGAGTCGCTAGGAAACTCGTGTTACCTAGTTTCCTGTACGCATGACATAAAAAAGATTAAAATTCGAGTAGTTTGTTTAACTTTTTCATTATGTATTTTAAGTATTTTTATAAGAAGTCATTTCCACCTAGTTCGTTTTCCCTTAATTGACAAGAAAATCATCAAATATTGACTAAGCTGTTATGCTAGGCCTATATTGAGTGCACATCATCCGTTTTAACAAGCGGAAAAGCAAACACGATGAATGCATTGACTTAGCCCAGGTACATCAACATGATGAGGTACGGTTTTCAAATGCAAAGTTATCTTTGCACGACGGATGGATGCTCGAAATTGCATAGGATAACAAACACTGGCAGCAGTTCCACAGTTCCACAGAGAATACTAAAACAATGCCAGGATTTAGAGAGATTGCTCTCATCAGAGACCATAACTGACATGCTGGTACTGAAACTTCTACATCTCGAATCTATTGATATTTGAAATGGAGAGATTTGTTATTATAACTGGGAAAACAATTTGTGTAAATGTTATATAGATGCAGATTTAACGTCATTTACATGATATAAAATTTAAAGCAATTGTTAAATAATTTTTGATAGTAATGCAATTAATAACTTCTCGAAGAAGTTTTGTTCTAGTCAACAAATCCGAATTGTTAATTTTATGTTTTCTCTGTGTTTCAATACATTTTGAATCGTTTGACTGAAAATTATTCTGAAGATCATCATCGTACAAGATCAAAAATACTGATCTGATAGTTAATTTTATTTATTTTAGGTATAACTAGATGACCCGACAGACGTTGTCCTGTACCCATGTCTACAATTTTTTAATATAATATACTAATATTTACCGTTTACCTAAAAATAATATTTTGTTTAAATTACTCTTCCCGCCAAAATGCATATACATTTATAATATGAGCAATGTTAAATGTAGAGCTGGTTTAAATAAAATGATGAGTCTCAATTCCCACACTATATTGGCAATTAAAGTCTTTTGAACGGTATAACATAACCATAACCATAACATAAGACTGGTAATTCATGTTGGATTAAATTAATTTAATTTTTTATTATTTAATATATCCAAAATTGCATCTTAAACTTCTCCCAATCGATATCGTAAGAGCCGAATTGTATGTATTCATCTTTACTTTCCCATTTGTTGTTATAAAGTGAAAATTTTACGAATTTTAAAAATATTGTGGAAAGATTAGTAAAAGCTGCAAAAAAATTATACATTAAAAAAAATCTATATTGAAAATTTAATATCCGAATCTTGTGTTGGCGCCCCCTAAGACGTGCGCTCGTATTTTTCGCATGCATCGCATTAAAAGTAGGCTGATTAATACTTAACTTAATATTTTAAGTGAATTAATTTGTCATATTTATTCATATGTGTATAATTCAATCTGCCATACATATACTGTATTTTATATTATTTTAATCTTAGCTGCTTTTCGGCAATAATAATGTAGACTTTTCATTTTTCTTATTCATAATCATAAAATTATTATACATATTCTAATATTGTCTAGGTTCATAAGTAAATTGAAATTTTTGGCAGATCATAGTTTTCATTTATTTTCAATGCAAATAATGACATGTCGTTTTTAGCAATTTTTTCCACTTATTTCTACAATATTGCACATACTTTATAATCACATACATCTTAGAAAGTTCCTTAACAAACTTCAGAAATATTTATCAAAATCCGCATAATCGTTTAGAAGGATTATAAAGTGAGTGCTTGTAATTTAATATGAACTTTATATAATAGCAATAAAACTCAAATTGATTCTACGTTTTAGTTAGAAAACGTTTGTATGAGAAAAGAAAAGGGCTGTTTTTAGGGTTTTCTCGGAAATTATTCGATTAACCATCCTTGGACATCAAAGAACATTTTAAAAAAAGAATTGACCAAATTGGTCAAGGCGTTGTTGAGTTATGCGCTTACCAACACATTTTGCGATCCATTTTTATATGTAAGATTACATAATCATCGTATTAAGTAATGATATACAATAAAATATTTTATTCGAATATCATGGAGCGCTATTATGAAGCGCTACTATGAAGCCCTACTATGGAGCCCTACTATGAAGCCCTACTATGGAGCCATATTTTCATTTCGTGGACCCCGAAATTATTTGTTTTAAGAAGTAGACCCCCTGAAAGTTGTCATACACCCCTCCATGAGGACCACTTTGCGTATCACTAACCTAGGTTCCAATTTTTAATTTGTTGATGTAGAGAACATTTGTAATTTTTTGTGCAATATAAGATTGACTAAACGCGCAAATCGGTTCGTTTGCTATTAAAAATAAATAAATAAACATAAAATCGAGAACAAAACCTGATGCCACCATCAGGAACAGCGTTACAGAGAATTTAAATTAGAAAGCATTGCCCCAGATTGCAAGTGGTTCCATATTACATTCAACGTGTATTAAACCATTATATAATATAACATATATTAAAGGATTCAGAATTATCTCGGCTAATCTCCATTTACCTCGACATATTCTGCTCTACCGAGCTAAAAGCTTTTTCAAATATCTATTCATATATAATAATTAGCAAGTCTTATGCAAGACTTATATTATTAAATTGTTAATTAGTGTTGCTTCATTATAATATATGTGATGTTACATTTAGTAATCTTTGCAGAACAAAGAATGGCATTTTGAGAATTAAACTTACTATCAATAAATGAAAACACTCAATTTTGCAATAAAACATAGGAATAATGGGTGTTGATATTCAAATTGCAGAGTGAATGAATTTGATTCAAAATCGCTTTAAATACTAAAATTGGCGATTTTCTTAACAATATTGTATACAAAGTATTATTATTAAATGAATTAGCGAATTTGTCAGTATGTCCAAAAATTTAATTTGGTGATTTAATTGAAAATATAAGCTAATTGTATTATTGGTTTAAATTACTTGGCTGTAAAACGCAACTATACAAATATCTCAAAACGTTTAAAAATAATAATGATATAACAAACATAAATAAAGTATTTATAATCCGTGCAATCTATCAGAAACAAAATTTAGTACACATCCATCAGTTGTAAAATCCTTTTACTGATTTATGCTATTGATTATTCATATATAGATTGCGTTTTAGTAATAGATTTTATTATTATTCAATGAAATAACACCGATGTCATAAAATCCTGAAACCTTTTTCACTATTCTGAAATAGTTTGGTCAATTTTATGTTAGCCATATAATCGAAGCTTTTTGATATGTTGGAGAGAAAGAAATAAATCTAGCAAAAATCAAAAGTACAAAAATCTAGAGAACGCTTGTAAATAATAAGATATAAATATATAAACTAGTGGGGAGCATGACATTGTGCTTTAAGGCAAATTGCTGGAACTTCCCGTACCGTACTTAAAAATCACACAAAATGTGTACACATTATTAAAATCTCTATAAAATATCTGATAATTTCATGCACATATGCCCAATAAACATTTTTAACCACCAAATGACATTTTTTTAACTTATTTTTATTGAGAGTCCATAACCGCTGGACCTGTCTTCCCAAAAATTTAATCAGTTCTTCATCTTGCCAATTCAAGTAAAATGTTTTTGAATTATTAAAATCGGGACGCTCCGTT